CTTCCTCGTGTTCTCTTTCAACATATTCTTCTACAAAATCTCCCTCAAACCCGTCCACATAAAAATCCGAGTTACATAGAATATATCTCTATACAAATTCAATTGCTTCACGTATCTCTATTTAAAAACTTGGATTTTTCGTCGTTGATCAGTGGTTTCTATTTCTATGCTCTGAGCCGTGTCTCTCTCGCTGAAATCTATTTTGATTTTGAGAGGAGAATATGAAATTGAGAATTGAAGATTAGGGTTAGGGTTAGGGTTAGGGATTTTGTTTCGATTTGGGGAAAATAGAAAGGGGGTAACAGTGGGTTTTCGTATTATTGTAAACCCACGTGGTTAAATAACTAACAACGTTTTTTTAGATTTGTGACAAAGTTTAACGTCTGTTAAACATCGCGGGTGAAACTTACACAAATACTCAAGTTCGAGTATTAAATTGTAAATAGAATTCACTTGGTGTATTTTTATGGCAACGGAAAAATTTCATGTATTTTTTGAGCAAATGTTGTTCAATTGGAGGATTTTCGGATATTTTCCCATTTTTCTTTATTGTACCCATTTATCTTCTCCAATATATTCTTTGATGCTGTTATCACTTCTATTGATTAAATTTAATAAAAACGTAATCTACTTAGACAAAATTGACATTATCCACTTACCTATATTATAGGTACGGATGTAGTCTCTTTTAAAAAATGAAAGATGAATTATTGTTGATAAGTTTAAGATATAAAGAATAATCTATCTATTCTTTTATATGTGAAGTAAATTATCCTACGTGGCGGCCTCTTATCGATTTTGAAATGATTGATTACAAGGGTGCCCTCAATAAAATCATCCTAATTATACCATTTTGCCATCGATTCCAATTAAAAAAATTCTATTGGGTTTTGGTCTTATATTTCTTTACGCCCATCAATAATTGTTAGTTGGCATAACCCTAGCTCTATAAAAGAAGCTATATATAATCGATATTATTCCTCTCTTTATAAAATTAAGAGTCGCCTCTTTTTTTGTTTTAGGTTTAAG